TTTTTTTTTTGAGTCAGGGTCTCACTGTGTTGCCTGGGCTAGAGTGCCTCAGTATAGCTCACTGCAACCTCAAACTCCTGGATTCAAGGGGTCCTCCTGCCTCAGCTTTCCGAGTAGCTGGGACTACAGGTGCAAACCACCATACCCAACTAATTTTTCTATTTTTTGTAGAGACAGGGTTTCGCTATGTTGCTCAGGCTAGTCTGGAGCTCCTGGCCTCAAGAAATCCTCTCATTTCAGCCTCCCAAAGTGCTTGGATTACTGGCATGAGTCATCGTGCCTGGCCTATCAATCTAAATTCTATTATGCATAACTTCAAAATATTCATTGCTATGTGTATAAAGTAGTTTAAAATTAAGAAGAAAAAAATTGATATTATATTAAAATTGAGATTATATATGATGAATTCACTTGATTTTGTAAGAATGAATATATATACAAATGATCCAGTTTATTCTAGTTCTCAGGTATTAAGCTGTTATGTTAAATATTTTGATGCTGTATTTATATATCAGCAACTGCAATTTTCCAAATACTTTTTCAAGATACCTAACCAAGTCACATATCCTTGTTGAGTCACACTTTTTCTCTGAAGCTTTCCATGATAACCCAAACTAAAAACGTTCTGATATTGGTAGCATTTTTAAAATCTGTCTCTTTCACTTGGCACTTATATATTGCTGTAAATTGAAGTTTGTGTATGAATGAAACTGAAAGTGGTTAGAGGGCAGGTATTATATTTTATGTTTCTTTCTTTATCTCTTTCCTAACCAATGTCAGATTGCCTCAGTCTGAGTGGAGAACCAATGAACAGGTGATGAATCAATGAATGAATGGTTATCTACAGGTCAGTGCATTCACAGTGAATATATCTTACTTATCATAATGAAAGAAACATGTCCAAAAAACAAATGAACAGATTCTTTTACATCTGAGCCTCTTAAACTCCCATATTGGATCTTCCAACTAGCTGACAGCATCTCTAGCCATTTGCTAAGGTAGCTTCTCTAATCCCTACTATGCTTGGATAATTTCTGATGGGACATAGGGTCTTGAATTTGCAGTAGTTCTGTTCATTTCCCAGGACTTAATGAGAGTGACCAAATACCCAGGTTGGTCACCTCATGTAGTCAGAAAGTACCAAACTTACCTATAATGTATCATATCCACCAATGACCTCTCCAGCCTGTCAATACTTGCTTACAGTTAGTCAGTGAT